TTAAAGGGTTCCCCACGCACGTGCGTCAGATGCCACGTTCTGCGCCAGCGCAGCCTTTGCGTGGAACACTAGGGGCTCCTGGGAAATGTAGTTCCCCAGGCGAGCTACGCTCAGGGGCCTTCTGGGGAATAACACAGGGTACACAGAATTAATGTCTAAGACCAGTTTTCCTGTCAAGCCTTCATGCTTCCTTGACTACCAAGGGAACGTACAGAGAAGTACGAAGTGGCCTGAGGGAGTCATCAGTCTCTCAGGAAGTGGAAAGCCATGGACTCTAACCTGTAAAACCCAAGACACATCCTCTGAAGGCAGCTAGGCCAAGCCAACTCCACGGTTCCCTACATTAGATATTTTTACTTTGGGTGAGTATGTGCATTTTTAATGAATGTCTAATAATTTGAAATCAAGCATAGACAGCTATGAATTCTGCTTGTGTGAAATGTGTGTTCCACAAGGCTAGCATCTCTGCACTGCTCTTCCTCATGGCCTTTCTACTTTCCTAACATCCCCTCGTTAGGAAGGGCCAATAGGAAAAGATTTAAAGGTTCCAGGCAAAAAATAAGTTATTTACAAATTCTTCCTCCATCCCAAATCTACCAAGTCTGTGTCTAGAGAATGCAGTCTCAAGGGATGCATGTGGACTGAGTTCTCAATGATCCGTCAGTGCTGCATGCTCAGCATGCTGGAGGCTGTAGTCTCGAGGGATGCATGTGGACTGAGTTCTCAATGATCCGTCAGTGCTGCATGTTCAGCATGCTGGAGGCTGTAGTCTCGAGGGATGCATGTGGACTGAGTTCTCAATGATCCGTCAGTGCTGCATGTTCAGCATGCTGGAGGCTGTAGTCTCGAGGGATGCATGTGGACTGAGTTCTCAATGATCCGTCAGTGCTGCATGTTCAGCATGCTGGAGGCTGTAGTCTCGAGGGATGCATGTGGACTGAGTTCTCAATGATCCGTCAGTGCTGCATGTTCAGCATGCTGGAGGCTGTAGTCTCGAGGGATGCATGTGGACTGAGTTCTCAATGATCTGTCAGTGCTGCATGTTCAGCATGCTGGAGGCTGTAGTCTCGAGGGATGCATGTGGACTGAGTTCTCAATGATCTGTCAGTGCTGCATGTTCAGCATGCTGGAGGCTGTAGTCTCGAGGGATGCATGTGGACTGAGTTCTCAATGATCTGTCAGTGCTGCATGTTCAGCATGCTGGAGGCTGTAGTCTCGAGGGATGCATGTGGACTGAGTTCTCAATGATCCGTCAGTGCTGCATGTTCAGCATGCTGGAGGCTGTAGTCTCGAGGGATGCATGTGGACTGAGTTCTCAATGATCCGTCAGTGCTGCATGTTCAGCATGCTGGAGGCTGTAGTCTCGAGGGATGCATGTGGACTGAGTTCTCAATGATCCGTCAGTGCTGCATGTTCAGCATGCTGGAGGCTGTAGTCTCGAGGGATGCATGTGGACTGAGTTCTCAATGATCCGTCAGTGCTGCATGTTCAGCATGCTGGAGGCTGTAGTCTCGAGGGATGCATGTGGACTGAGTTCTCAATGATCCGTCAGTGCTGCATGTTCAGCATGCTGGAGGCTGTAGTCTCGAGGGATGCATGTGGACTGAGTTCTCAATGATCCGTCAGTGCTGCATGTTCAGCATGCTGGAGGCTGTAGTCTCGAGGGATGCATGTGGACTGAGTTCTCAATGATCCGTCAGTGCTGCATGTTCAGCATGCTGGAGGCTGTAGTCTCGAGGGATGCATGTGGACTGAGTTCTCAATGATCCGTCAGTGCTGCATGTTCAGCATGCTGGAGGCTGTAGTCTCGAGGGATGCATGTGGACTGAGTTCTCAATGATCCGTCAGTGCTGCATGTTCAGCATGCTGGAGGCTGTAGTCTCGAGGGATGCATGTGGACTGAGTTCTCAATGATCCGTCAGTGCTGCATGTTCAGCATGCTGGAGGCTGTAGTCTCGAGGGATGCATGTGGACTGAGTTCTCAATGATCTGTCAGTGCTGCATGTTCAGCATGCTGGAGGCTGTAGTCTCGAGGGATGCATGTGGACTGAGTTCTCAATGATCCGTCAGTGCTGCATGTTCAGCATGCTGGAGGCTGTAGTCTCGAGGGATGCATGTGGACTGAGTTCTCAATGATCCGTCAGTGCTGCATGTTCAGCATGCTGGAGGCTGTAGTCTCGAGGGATGCATGTGGACTGAGTTCTCAATGATCCGTCAGTGCTGCATGTTCAGCATGCTGGAGGCTGTAGTCTCGAGGGATGCATGTGGACTGAGTTCTCAATGATCCGTCAGTGCTGCATGTTCAGCATGCTGGAGGCTGTAGTCTCGAGGGATGCATGTGGACTGAGTTCTCAATGATCCGTCAGTGCTGCATGTTCAGCATGCTGGAGGCTGTAGTCTCGAGGGATGCATGTGGACTGAGTTCTCAATGATCCGTCAGTGCTGCATGTTCAGCATGCTGGAGGCTGTAGTCTCGAGGGATGCATGTGGACTGAGTTCTCAATGATCCGTCAGTGCTGCATGTTCAGCATGCTGGAGGCTGTAGTCTCGAGGGATGCATGTGGACTGAGTTCTCAATGATCCGTCAGTGCTGCATGTTCAGCATGCTGGAGGCTGTAGTCTCGAGGGATGCATGTGGACTGAGTTCTCAATGATCCGTCAGTGCTGCATGTTCAGCATGCTGGAGGCTGTAGTCTCGAGGGATGCATGTGGACTGAGTTCTCAATGATCCGTCAGTGCTGCATGTTCAGCATGCTAGAGGCTGCAGTCTTAAGGGATGCATGTGGACTGATCCGTCAGTGCTGCATGTTCAGCATGCTGGAGGCTGCAGTCTTAAGGGATGCATGTGGACTGATCTGTCAGTGCTGCATGTTCAGCATGCTGGAGGCTGCAGTCTCGAGGGATGCATGTGGACTGAGTTCTCAATGATCTGTCAGTGCTGCATGTTGTAGCACATGCCTGCCATTTCAGCATGCTGGAGGTGGAAGCAGGAGGATCGATTATGATCTGAGGCCAGCCTGGGTTTTTAGCAAGTTCCAGGCCATCCTGTTTTAAATAGTGAGACCCTGTCCTTAAAGACAAGTGAGGGGCTGGGGTGTGCAGGGGTTAAGAGCACTGACTGATGGTTTGGAGGACCAGAGCTCAACTCCCGGCCCCCATGTCAGACTGCTTACAATCCCATTAACTCTAGGTCTAGGGACTCTGACACTCTCTTCTGGCCTCTGAGGGTACCTCCACTCACATGCAAACAATTATGTGCACACACACACACACCACACCACACACACACCACACCACACACACAGAGAATTAAAAACAGTAAAAACAAATACTTATAAAAGAAGTGAGTCATAAGAGATTGACCGAAATGGGAAATGGATCTGGACTTGGCTTTGGAGTCTTCGAGAGGCAGAAAGGGAAGGACCAGAGAGGGAGAGATGGGGCCTGAAGAGATGGCTCAGCAGTGAAGGGCACTTGTTGCTCTTTCAGAGGACCCAACCTTGGTTCTTAGCACTCATATCAAATGGCTCATGACCGAATGTGACTCCCGCACAAAGGGGTCTTGTCAAACCTCTTCTGACCCCTGTGGGTACCCATACGCATATGCCATATACAGACACACACCCATACATGCAAAATAGAATCTGAAAAAGAGAGAGAGATGGGGGCTTAGAGTGTATTTAAATAAGAGGTGGTCATAACAATTGATTAGGGCAGATCTATTTGGCAAAATAACAAGAAAAACCTCCAAGCCTTGACTGGGAAGAGAGCAAGCGGACGCTTGGTTTGTGGGCTTCATTGGTCAGGCCTCTGGTCCTGGAGCCCAGGAGAGACATGCCAAGAGTCCCAAGAGAGTGCCATCCAAGCAGTGTTCTACAGGATTGGGGGCGGGCACAGGTTGGTGTTTACAAAGGAACTAAGGTGATGATGCAGGAGACACATGGGTGAGAGGAACTTTTAAAGGGGGAAGAAGGAAAATAAAGACCATTCTAGCATGAGAGAAAGAGTTACAACATAACTGACCATCCTTTGTGGACGCTAACTGTGAAATGTCCAGCCCTGCCGCTGCTAAAGTGTTTTCACCCAGTCTAGCCCATGCTGCCCATGCCTTAGGTGAACCCTGCTGAGGAAATGGCGTCTGTGCAGGCCCGTGTGTGAAGCTGTGTCCACTGGCAGTGAATCAGGGAGTGGTCAGCCTTGAACCAGTGTCAGAGAGTGAAAACATCAGAGAAAGGTGTGCAGTCAGCTTTCAGAAGACAAAACAAGAAGACCTCTGGGTTTGAGGAAATGGTGAGGAGGGGTTCACAGAAGAGGAAACAGGGTGCTTCCTGATCCCTGGTTCTGACTGCACGTGCATGCTGTCTGTCCGTCCCTTCCCCCCAGAGTCCTTGCCCCTTCCCTCCTCATCAAACCACACACATCTCTCTACCCCCTTCTTGTCCCTCCTTCCCTTGCTTAGACCCAATAGCAGAAACTGCACGAGACACAGTTTCGCTTCCAGCCTGGCAAGAAGCTGGAATCTCTTTCTGCAAGATCAGCTGCCAACTGGTAAAGACGGAGATTTCGTGGCTAAGAATGGGCGAGGAAGGAAACAGGGTATGGAGAAAGGTTACAGCCTGGGCTTAGGTGGCTATCTCGTGCCAGGTCCTGTGTGGGCAGTAAGAGAACAACAGTAAGAAACGCGCTGGGAGGACATGGACCTTCGTGGAGATAGTGCCCCCTCCAGTAAGAGCACACAAAGGAAAACACCTGGTTCCAGCACTGTAGACTTAGCTCTTCAGATGGGTAAACCAGTGTTAAACGAGATAGAGGAAATTGGTTGCAACTGGAGATTCTGGTGTGGGTGTTCAGGCTCCCTAGCTGATTGCATTTTACTATATATTTCATTGATATCTGTAGCAGCCTTATACCTAAGGGGCCGGTGCTGAGAGTAACTACCATAACGAGAGGCTCATCCCTCCATCCTCCCTCTGTTCTCTTTTCTGCAAACGAGACCACAGTGCACACGAGATGGCCGTCTTTTGCTGCTGCTTGGCCTCGGTCGGTTCTTGCAACGCCCCCAGGAGACATGATGAAGGGGATCACAGCAAACCTTTCTCAGGAAGAGCTGCAACCCGCTACCAACAGACGGCTCAGCAACCAACGAACTCAGCCCTGTCAGATAAAACATCAGCCTCACCCCCAACATCCAGAAGGACTTATTTTGTCATGCCCAAGGGACACACTTTGAGTAAAGACCAAAACTGTCTACATGGGCTGAGAGTCTGGTGAAAAGCGCTGGACATGAATGAGTCATGCCTGTTGGGCTTCATACATGGCTCCACCAATAGGGTACATAGAGTTCCCAAGACCGCCAGCTGGAAATGTGGACGAACTCCCAGCCTAAGCCGCTGTGAGAGCCTAGGACTGGAACATAGTGTGTGCAAGATCACCGCAGGCCAGCAGTGCCCCAGGTGCCAGGGGTACAGTGTCACCTCATTGAAGAGGATCTTGACAGTCAGTGCTGACCAGCCGTTCTCTGTGGCCCTAAACTGTAAACCACAGGGCTCTGAGGAAAAAGAAGGACATTGTTGTTCCTATGCTTCTGCTACATGTCTGTCCCTTAGTAAAAAAAAAAACGGCCCAATACAGTGCAAGCCAATTAGAAACCATAACTGATCCTAAAACCCAGATTCACATTCTCGCTCTCACCCTCTCTCCCTCAAACTGGAGTTCTTCCTTGTCTGGCTCTAAAGCTGCCCCAAAGCTGAGTCTACCCAAGTGGACAAAGGTACAGAGAGAAAGTCCAAGCCAGACAGTGAATGAGGGTGAGACATAGGCTCGGCGCTGTCCTTTATTTATTTATTTTTAATTGTTTTTTATATTCTTCACAAATATGGTTATTATTTTATTACCATGGATGACTATTCTCTCTCTCTTTTTATTTTTCCATTCAAAATTTCCACTTCCTTCCCTCCTCCCAATCCCCCCCACGCACTCCCCCACTCACCGTCCTCCCATGCCCTGTGGGAAGTCCAAGGCCCTCCCCACTACATCCAGGCCTAGGAAGGTATGCATCCAAACAGACTAGGATCCCAAAAAGACAGTACATGCAGTAGAAACAAGTCCCGGTGCCATTATCAATGGCTTCTCAGTCAGCGCCATTCAGAGAGTCCGGTTTGATCACATGCTCGTTCAGTCCCAGTCCAGCTGGATTTGGTGAGCTCCCACTAGAACAGGCACACTGTCTCTGTGGGTAGACGCACCCCTCGTGGTTCTGACTTCCTTGCTCATCTTCTCCCTCCTTCTGCTCTTCAACTGGACCTTGCTTTAAAGAAGTGTGAGCATGTGTGTGCGCCCGAGTACAGCTGCCTCGCAGCACACGGGTTGCCCGTGCTCCAGACGGCTCAGAGCCACAGCTCTGTCCTTGTACAATCTGTGTTCCTGCCCCAGGATCTCCTCAGTACAGTCTGTGTTCCTGCTCCAGGATCTCCTCAGTACAGTCTGTGTTCCTGCTCCAGGATCTCCTCAGTACAGTCTGTGTTCCTGCACCAGGATCTCCTCAGTACAGTCTGTGTTCCTGCCCCAGGATCTCCTCAGTACAGTCTGTGTTCCTGCCCCAGGATCTCCTTCTCAGTACAGTCTGCGATCCTGCGCCAGGATCTCCTTCTCAGGGCTGTTGCTCTTTTCGCAGCCGCAGCCGAGCAAAGCCTTGCTGCTCTGGAGTTGTGTCCGAAGAGTGGCAAACTATGGGAAATGTGGAGGGTAGCGATGGGACGATGATGTGTAGGCCACGCTTCAAGCAGGGTTGTCTTCAATCTTGATGCTTTCTCTGCCAGTTTTGAGTCCTCGGAGTGAACAGTGCATGAAGCACAAAGTTACCATTCCTCATTGCTGTGCAAATGTGTGCTCCTGTTTGTCCCCTTATTTCTTTCCTTCATCCTGAGCCCACTCTTTTTTTTTAATGTTTAATTTTAAATAAATGCATGCAAATGGATGTCATGTTGTTATAATATTTTTCTTGTGGTACATGGTTCATTATATCTTGATATTCCCAATGTTTTTACATTGATAGAAAATTCTCAGTCTGTTGAAACTACAAGATGCTGTCAACCAACATAGACATTAGAACAACGTTTGACATTTGGGGACTTTTTAGCTGGATTCTCTTTGTCACATAGTGGCCACTTAAACACCGCTCACATTCACTGCTAGTCTCGGTAGCTGATATACAACCAGAGCTCAACTGTATTCGGCGGTAAGAGGAGAATGATTTAGCAAAATGCCTGGGTCCTCAACATAGCTGAGGATACGGGCTGGACCATGTGCCCAGTGACTCCGTTCTAGACTCGCTCCCATATGGCAGGTCTGATACTACACGCATTCACCAAATAGAAGAGTGGGTTCTCCAACAGTATGGCAGCCCACATTGTCTCCTCTTGGTTCAGAGTTCGTTCCTGTATTAGCAATTTCTTTTCTGCACCATTCGTTTATAGTGGAGGGGCCAGTCAGCCCCAGGAATAACTCATTTTTGTTCTGTTTTATTTTGTTTTACAAAGTGCAAGAAGAAGCCAACCCTTCTCAGCACAAATGGCTTTTCAAAAGCAAAGACCCGGGGCAGCATCTCTTTTTAAGACTGAGAACATCTTCCAGGGAGGTGTGATCCAGAACACTCCATCCACATCTCTGAAGGAAGCAGGAACTCTGGCTTCTGGCTGTTTGCTGAGATGGCCCAGAATCTGTCTCGTCATTCTCATCCTGATGTCTGGAAGAAACGGAAGTGCCATAAAGGAGCAGAGTTTCTGACTCCAAAGCCTGACACCTCTTCAGTGTACAAGTGTCACAGGTTCCCTGCGGGGCACTGAGCAGGGGATTTGAGGTTTCAGATGTGAGGTTCTGATGCTATCCCATTTCTGCTCACCAAACCCGCAAGGGCTCCTTTGGTTTGCTTTTGTGACTGGTATCTACGTTGATGAGGCTGGTTTTCAGGGCCCCTTTCATCTTCCCCAATTTTCCTTCCCTGCTTGTCTGCCTCTGTCCTCCCAGTCCTTCCTTTTCCTCTTACTTTTCTTAGCCCCTAGGCACAGGAGCCGCACCTGATAAGAGGCAGTCCAGATAGTAGAGAAAGGGTTCAAAGTGATGTGGGCTAGGTCTGAGTCCAGGTCTCATCACAACGTGCTGAGCACCTTCTCCCTATTTCTCCTCCATAACTAGATCCCAAACTTGACTGTTTCTTTGGTTAAATATTTTATACAACAACAGTACCAACAGACCCAGGAAGGAGCTAAGCTCAGAAGAAAACAAGTCCCTAACAGCTGTTCAGCCAACCTGCTACTGACAGGTTGTTATACGAGAGGAATGGAAAGTGGGCTCTAAATCCCTGGTCCCCTGACAGTTTGTCCCATCAGTTTGGTCTTCACACAGCAAGCTTCCTAATTATAGGGGCTCTAGTTAACCTCAAGCCCCTAGGCTGCAGGTCCAGGAAGAAGCCTGGGTTCTAGAGAAAGGGCAGGACTGTGTGTGTGGTGCTGAAGTGCCCAAAGTTTCGCTCTCACTTAACTAGACAGATCAAAATAACTTTCTAATTCTAGTCTCAGCTAACAGGGAAATGCAGCTGCTTATGCGTCTAGAGCCTTTGAGGCAAAAGAACTCAGTGTCACTTAGCCAGCCTTCCTCCTTGCCAGTCACCACGGCAACCTAAAGAGGCCCTTTGGAATCTAGCCTCGAAGTTCTCTTCAGGGTTCAAAATGGAAGCTACAGCAAGCAAAAGGAATTTAGGGTCTCTGTGGGCAAACGAACTCTCTCACACAGTGCTGCTCCAAACAAGTCTCTTTATTCTTCCTACTCTATTCTAATAATTCCTCCTAGCTTCATCTCCTCTCACCTAAAACCTTTCCTCTTCCAGGAGGCTTGGAGCAATAAAAAAATTACAAGAGTTATTTCTCATTGGTCAAAAGCACATTCCTAGGGAAAGTGATAAGGAGCTGAGCCATTGCCATAGCAACACAAGGCTCCAAGGTTACCATGGCAACACGAGGCTCCAGGGTTACAGGAGCAAGACTGCTACAGATGGTGGAGGCACAGTGCCCAGCGATAGACTTTGAGACACAGGTCTATTGTCAGCAGATTTGGCAAGCAAAGAATTGGCCAGCTTTTCTTTGGGTGCTTTGTGTAGTTACCTTGGTTAGACACCTCTGACTCTGACCTCTGCATAGCTGCAAAATTTTAACAATATGGTCTGTTTACAAAAAGTCTTAAGTCTAGTTTGAACTTGCTCTGAGGTAAAACTGAGCTAATTGTGTGCAATTAGTCTGAGCAAAAGGAACTTTTGCTTTTAAGTGTCTACAGTCCTACTTATAAAGCATATCCTAGTACATTCTATATGTCACAATTATAGAGATAAATGATAAATCATCTTCCTGACCACCCATATGTGTGCCCATAAGACTGAGATGCAAACATGAGATTACATATACACATCACATGAGATTACACACCTCAATGCAGGAATTGGGGAGACACAGGATGTTTTAGCAACAGTGAGCAACAGTTTCCAGAGTCCATGATCCTGCAGGCCTTGCCTGGACAGGATTCTCCTCCATTAGAGAGTCATTCCTCCGGGTTGACATCTGAACAGGCTGTCACCTGCTGTAACACTCACAGCCTCCGACAGCAGCCAGGCTGTCTGTCTTTTTATCCTGAAAGCCTCCTGACAATGGACACATCTGAGATCAATCCCAGGGCACTGCAGCAGCCATTCATTTCTACAGAGTGAGAGACTCAATCTGGAATACATGCTTACTTCTCTCCAAGGAGAGAGCTGGCAGAACTGGGATGAGATGACTTGAAAATCTTTCATCCTTCATGTGTGTGAAGCCTGCTAACGTTTTCAGAGACAATGACAGTCGTCACAAGGGTGTTCATGGCAATGGCAATTGTAATAACAAAATGGGAAAGATCTACAAATTCTCCTTCTACTCTCAGAACAATCCGCATGGAGTAGGTGCCATTACCTACAGACTGTAGGCAGTGTTCAAAGTCATGTGTGTAACTGCCCCTACAGGGGCAGTGTTCAAAGTCATGTGTGTAACCGCTCTACAGGGGCAGTGTTCAGTCATGTGTGTAACCACCCTGCAGGAGCAAACAAGGACAGTTTTATTTTGTAGGTCACACCTCTAGCTTTTATTCAATAGATGAAAACCACACTTGTTAATAACTGTAAGGGAAGATAATTCTGACTGTTCCTGAGTAAAATACACCTTACCGTTTGTTTAGATGATGAAATGGCAGCTGTCATCATTATTACTTTTATACAATTAGATAGCTATACTGTACTAAGTAAACAGTTGAAAACAAGCTTTCATTTATGATTGTTAAAAGTTTATCATATATCTTTAACCTATAAATCAGCCTTTTATAAGAGTTTTAGAAAGAAAGATAACATACTTACAGAAAATACATTATCTGAAACTTAACAAAGGAAGAAATAGCCATTAAACATTTGAAAATACTTCTTTCTCACTAAGTAGAAATATGATGTACTGTCATTTTAAAAATATTTAAACAAAGGTCTGTTTGTGTGTTTGTGTGCATTTGAGTGCAGGTGCCTGCAGCAGCAGCAGATGCTCTGAGCTGGAGGTGCAGGTGGTTATGAGACTTGTGATGTGGGTGCTAGGGACCAGACTCTGGGCCTCTGCACATCTGGAGTCAGTCGCTGGAGCAGGCCCTCTGCACATCTGGAGTCATTCGCTGGAGAAGGCCATCTGTACATCTGGAGTCAGCTGCTGGAGCAGGCCCTCTGCATATCTGGAGCTAAGCTGCTGAAGCAGGCCCTCTGCACACCTGGAGCTAAGCTGCTGGAGCAGGCCCTCTGCACACCTGGCTGCTAACGCTCCTTCTTCCTCACATCTGTCCTTTAGGTAAGGAGTTCAGTTCATCCATCTCTGGCAATGGTGGCCTTTAAGGTCAGGACATTGTCTGGGGGCTTCAGTAGGCCCTGGACTTGTCTTCATGGGTCATAGTGCTGGGCAGCTGAGTGTTCGGGGCTCTGCATGTCCTCTCCTTCCCCTGGCCAGACCGTTCTGGAGGAGAAAGTGGACAGAGGTCTCTGACATCCTCCTGGGTATAGGAAGCAGGGGCCTGCTGGAGACGCGGCCAGCACAGCATAACTCCACACAATGCCACTTTCTCTCCTCCCGCTCCATTTTCATATTTTCATTCCTGACCACAGTCTTAGTTAGGGCTTTTGTTGCTAGGAAGAGACACCATGACCTCAACAACTCTTCTAAGGAAAACATTTAAATGAGGTAGCTTGCTCACAGATTCAGAGGTTCGGTCCATTCTCATGATGGGGAGCATGGCGGCCTGCAGGTGCTGGAGGAGCTGAGAGTCCTATGTCTTGTAGGCGACAGGAAATCAACGAGGGAAGCTTGAGCAAAACAGATCTCAAAGGTGACCCCCACAGTGACACACCTCCTAACAATGCCACCCCCTTTGGGGGTCATTTTCTTTCAAACCCCCACAACCACATCGCTCACTGAGCACACACCTGCCATCTGTACCCACCCCAGCTCGTTCTCTGTCTTCCTGTTGGGCTTCATTCCCCTACCTTTCCACTCTCTTTTCTCTGTGTCTCTCTTCTGCCCCTTGTTACGGAGTAGTATTATAATATCTATAAACTTTAGTTAATATGTGGAAAGCTATAATTTAACTTAGAAGTTAAAAATCTGTATGTACACACACATACACACACGCACATACACACATATACACACATGCACAGATACACACACAGACACACACATACGCACACACATACACACACATATGTATTTAAATTTCTGTACTTTGCTTTCTTGTATCTGACAGTAACATGCCCTTATGTTATAGAAGTTGAAAGGCATACTTAGTAGGCCAGGCATGGCTGAAGAGTGTTGGAGCTAAAAACTTCCACATATGCCAGCCACTGTGGAAATGAGGCACGC